CAGAGAGTATGGATGAAAGTGAATTTAACGAAGCCAGAGAAGATCTTGCTGCTTTAGAAAAAGATTATGAAGAGGTTGGCATGGATTCTACGGAAGGTGGCGAAGGTGGAGAAGAAAACTAAAATGTTGCATGAGAGATACGAGGGCCTTTTCTTTTTTTTTTTTTCGTTACAATTAAGTCACACAGAAATCGTATTTTCGAGAGGTTCTATTGTCTTTTTTTTTTTTATTATTTTTTTTTTCCTTTAATCCCTCGTTATCATCATCGCTGGGATGAACGAACTTGTTCGGCCGACCAATTTTTTTGTAAAAAAATATTTTTATATAATCAATTTTTTGTTAATCGCCCCTCGGTATTTTTTATTTTTTTTCGACTTTCCTGTACATTCGTTTCTTAGGTAGTTTTTCCTTTTTCTTTTTTTATATATTGTACATGATTTAATATATTAATTTTTTTTTATATATAATATATATTTATCGATACACAAGCTTGTATATCTGTGTTTATAGAAAATAAATCTACGTATAAATTATTAAAACGTCAAATATATATGTTACTTTTCATTTATCTTTGCGTTGAATTTTGAAGAAATGATTCCTGAAATGATGAACGAGAAAGATCGTACAAATGTGAATAACAACTTTGTAGAGATATTACAGGCTCTTTATTGTGTAGAACAGCACGCAGCTGCGTAGAATTATATTACATATGTATAAACTTTTATCGGCATCGTTACACGTAGCTTTTTTATTTTTATTTTTAATTTTTTTTTTTTTTTTTTTTTCTGAGAAACTCTTATATCGTACATATAACATCCTTTTTTTATTTATTTATTTTTTTATTTTATTTTATTCCTTGTGTCTGCGTGCTTTTAATAATCATTCTCTCTTCTCCTCACACATGTTCTCTCTTCCTTATCTTTCCTCTTAAAAAAAAAAAAAAAAAAAAGAAAAAGACTGACGTAAAAAATCGAACATAGATCTTAATTTTATTTTATTTTATTTTATTTTCTTGTAAAGAGAAAGAAAAAGGAAAAAAAGAAACAAGGTAATAGAAATAGAAAGTGCACCTGTGTATATGCGTATGCGACGTGGAAAGAGAGGACGTAGTAAAAACGTTTGTCGAGAAGTATTTATACAAATTATGTATATATCTATGTGTTTGTGTACGTATGTGCGTATCGTGGGATATGTCGATGCAGAATTTAGAGACATACAATTATCGTTTCGTGAATTATAAAATTTGGTTCTCCGATGATTTTTTTTCATTCTCGAAAATCCACGGTTTATTTTTTAAATCTTTATATTTATTTTTCTTTCTCCTTTTGCATGGATGAAAATGGAAACAAAATACATATATTATATATATATATATATATATATATGATGTGGATGTGAGTGTGTATGTATTGACTGTTTTAATGTAGCGAACAAAATTAAATTGGTATATGGTAATATGCTGACAAGAGGATGACGACAATAACGTTTACTGGCGATAATAATAATAATAATAATATTAATAATTATATAATAATTATATAATAATACCATAATAATATCAATAATAATAATAATAATAATAATAATAATAATAATAATAAAGAAGATGATAGTGCTTATAATAGTAAATATCGTTACCAAGTAAATCCTCCCACGCAATAAAACCCTACCACTGTTTCCTTAGACGATACTCTTAGCTATTTTTTCTTTATTTATTTTTTTCTCTTTTTTTAAATTTCTTTTCTTAATCAGCGAATTTTTGGGAACATTTCTCCACCGCAAGTTTTTCAACTCAACACCTTCCTTCAGCTTCTAACTTCCGCCTTCTCCTCATCGACAAACGTATATAATCTAGAAAGATAGCTCTTTTTTTTTATAAACTCTTAGTTGCGCCTCGTCATAATCTCCATTACCCTTCCCCCTCCTCCACCCCTTCGAATGCATTCGCGCGACGAACGATAATTAAACTTTCTATCGCATTTTATATACCATATATTTTGTGTGTGTGTCTTTCTAATAATAAAAATGTCTTTAAAAAGCGTCATTTTCTGTTCTATTCTCATTTAATTCTTTTTTTTGTCTTCTTCTATTTGTTTTTGTTGGTTGTATTTTTGTTTGTGTTTCGCATTAATTCGTATTAAAACTTTTCATTTAAATACGCCGAGGATGCATAATTGATATTTCGTAAATATTTTTTTAAGCCTTTCCTACAAGATCCGGGTCCTATCTTTATTTTATCTCATTTATCTTTTTCATCTTTTTTATTATCTTTTCGACTCCTTTACTTACAAACCCTCTTACCACCACCATTTTTATCTCTTTCTTCATCTTTTTTGCTTATTTATTTTTTTTTCAATTTCACACCTACACACGCACAAGTATACACACATTCATATACAAATCTTCCCCCCCCCTACATACACGTATACATACATAAACACTTGTTACACTCTCTTTTTGTTAATTCCTTTTCGTATACACACTCGTTCTCTCTTTCTATCTCTCTATCTCTCTTTCTCTCTTTCTCTTTTTCTCTTTTTCTTTGCCGCTTACAATAAAAAATCTTACATCGTTTCATTTCATTTTTTTCCCCCATCATTTTTGGATTGGCAGGCAAGTAAAAAGCTGCCGCTCGCTGGACTAGAGATTTCACTACTGCTTTTATTGCGCATTCGTTCTACGATATTCAAAGAAATTTCTCCTACCCTCCCCCTCTCAACCCACCACCATTCGCATCATCCCTTACACAAGACATGTGCGTTTATTACCACCCACCATTTTTCCTATTCTTTTGGCGTAATTATTTTCTCATATCTTATTTATTGTTATCTTTCCATCATTCAATTAATTTCCCTTCTTATTTTTCTTTTCCTTTCTTTGTTTAATTATTCTCCTAACCAACCATTCCCCTTCTCTTTCCATTTTTTTCTCTTTTATCTCAATGTACTATTAGCAAATTTTGTTTATATCCTTCTTTTCGAGAAGAATAAAATGCAGAAAGATTTTCTTGACCGTTTTGTTAAAAGTTTCCAAGTCAGATTGGAACTAGCAACAAATTTCGTTTAAGAAATTTTTCTTTAATGCTGTTTATGTGTTTGTATATATATATATATATATATATATATNTATATATATATATATATATATATATATATATATATGTGTGTGTGTGTGTGTGTGTGTGTGTGTGTGTGTGTGTAAATATATAATATATTATGTATATTGTATAAAAACAAAAAAAAAATGAAATAAAAAAGAAAAAAAAGAAAAGGAAATAAGTTTTAATGAGCACGAGCTTCGGTTTGTTTTTAAGGCACGGCCTCGAAAATGCTCGTTATTTCGTTAAAAGTAGAATATTACAATATTCGATAATCATTCCTGGCTAAGTCCATCGAGGACCGGTTAAGAAAAAGAAGATAACACACTGGCTTTTTTCTATTTTTTTTTATCGTTATCATAATCATCATAAACATCATCATAATCATCATTATCATCTTCATCATCACAATCATCATTATCATTGTAATCATAATCATCTTCATCATCATCATTATCATCATCATCATCATCATCATCATAATTATCATCATAATCATTGTTATTTTTATCGTTATCGTTATCGTTATCGTCATCGTCAGTTCCCGAACGCTTCCCCCTTCCCCGAGATTATATATATGAAAATAAAGTGTTCTTTTACAACATGGGGATACGCCGTCGTGACACGACGGAACTTGAATCGAATTTCTTTTTTTCCTCTTTTTTTTTTTCTTTTTTTTGTATTATATTCACAACGATCGTTTCAACTTCCGTCGCAATTTTATTTTATTTTGTATTTTATTTTTGTATTTTAGTTTATTTTATTTTATTTTATTTTATTTTATTTTATTTTTCATCTTCTTTATCTTTACTGTCTTCTTTTCACATGATAGTAGTACAAGATTGTGTGGTTTTTTTCGTACATTATTATAAATTAATTCACAGAGATTATATTAAAAATGGGATGGAAATAATCGAATGACTTCTACGAAATTTTATCGATTATTGTTATTCCACGAGAAAAAGAGAGAAAGACTGAAAGAAAGAAAGAAAGAAAGAAAGAAAGAAAGAAAGAGAGAGGAGAAAGATAAAGATAAAGAGAAAGAGAAAGAGGAATGGAGAATTGAATTCTCAAGAGACAGTTTAATAAATGAATGATCGATTCACATGACAGAAATACAAAAAAAAAAGAAAGCGAATTAAATTGAGTTGTCCCTCTGGAGTATACCGAATACGTTTTTTTTTATTGTTTCAGAAGAAAAAAGAAAAAAAAACAAAAGTAAGAGTAAAAAGTAATCATTAGTAATACAATAAAATAATAATAGGGGATGACGTCGAGCACGTTGATGTCTCTTTGGTTAATCTATCGTAATGACCATGATAAAAATGGGGAAACAACAAAAAAAAAAAAGAAAAATAATTATTAAGGACGCTTAAACGAACGAGTCGAATCTATCGGAGTAATCTTCTTCTTTACCTTTTCACTTTTTATATTTATTTTTACGATATTCTTTCAATCGGATTTGAAATTCAATATGAGAAAAGATACCCTCGTTTAGTTCGACACGTAAAATAGAACACTGACAATGATTATATAATATGTAAATAGAACAAATAAAATAAAATAAAAAAAAAAAGAAAAAAAAACAATAAAGAACTACTACAACGTCATGATGATGTTTACTAACGTTACATCAATGACGATCCTAATGACAGCCACGATAGAAAAAAAAAAAATAGATCGCTAAGATACGCTACTTCAAAGCAAGGGATATTATAATATATCGATGATCCATAAAGATGGTTTAATAAGAAAAGTAAGAATAACGTTTATAACAGAAGAATAGAAATAATAGCAGTGGTAATAGCGATAGAATGAATAATGACGTACGTTATCTAATAATAATAATAATAATAATAATAATAATAATAATAATAATAATAATAATAATAATAATTAATTAATTATACACTTAATAATAATAATAATTAGAGTAATCAGCGGTATATAACTAATGACATTCGCTAAATAACACTAAAAGTAGCCACTAAATGGAGAAACATTTTCGCTTATTATTTCCTCTTTTACTTATCATTCTCCTTTTTTGTTCTGTTCAAAGATACAAGCAAAACGCATATACTTTGTTTGCACTTTAACAAATTCTGCTGTAAGAGTGGTACCGAATAATATTATTATGCCCGCGGAGAGAAAGAGAATTTCCGATACGAATCGGATTAACACACGTCGTTGACACAACAAGGGAGAAGCAAATGATTAACACAAGTCACAGAAAAAGGACTGTCAATATCTTTCTCTCTCTCTCTCTCTCTCTCTCTCTTCTCCGCGTGTATTGTTAACTCTTTATATTTTTTTTTTCTTCCAAAAGAAAAAAAAAAGCAGCAGGAGAGCAGTAGCAGCAGCATAATGAATCTCGCGTTCTCGCCTCGTTGATTCGATAATGACGACGGCAGTGATCGCGTTATGTGGAAGCACACATTTCCTTAGGTTTGACAGGAAAGCGTCACACACGTCTCTCTGTGTTTGACGTTTTTTATTAATTGATATTTTTGTTTGTCCCCATTATATATACCGATATTTGAAATTTCTCATATACATCTCATTTCTTTAGTTTTATTTGTCATTATTAGCATTTCGGAACAACCTCTATTGTTATAATCCTCTTTTTATCTTTGTTTTTATCTTTCTGTCTGTCTGTCTGTCTCTCTCTCTCTCTCTCTATTTTTTTCTTTCTCGTCCCAGTGCAATCGAGATAAAATCAAAGTAGTAGTTGTAGTAGTAGTAGTAGTAATAGTAATAGTAGTAATAGTAGTAGTAGTAGTAGTTGTAGTAGTAGTAGTAGTAGTAGTACGCACACTATCGGCAGTAGGAAAAGACGTAAAAGAAGACCACGCGTTTAATGCCGATCACGGAAGAGGAAGATCATCTTCCAAGATCAACGTGGCCAAATCCCTGATCTCAATAAGACGAGAACAACCGCGATATGCGAATATCATCGTCGTGTCCGTAGCCGTAGCTTGCCTTTTCAGTTTCTGGACCTGTCTTTAGCACGACATCGACGTGGTGCCGGCGTTCAGGACCTATAAATACGAATAACATCCTTGATGGGTGCACGACATAGGGGACAGTGACCGCCACCTTTGCCACGCCACTGTTGAATGGCGCAAGGATAACACATGCACATGTGGCCGCACATGTATAGGACACTGTCGATACTCCTCTCGTAGCAAATGGAACACTCGCTTGGTTGACCTGGCGTTGGTTGAAGACCTTCGCTCCATTGTTGAAGATGAGAGGATGCTTGCGACGTTAATGTACCGTCTAGACTTTGATAAGTCACAGGATCAACGTAAGTCGAGGAACCTGTGCTGGTCATAGTGCCAGTGAGCGGTGGCGAGGATTGTCTGGAAGATCCAGGATGAGGTACAGGTGCTGCCGAAGACGCTGGTAAGTGTGACACCGTTGCTGGTGGGTTCCTGTGTGCGGCTGACGCGTAGATTGGTTGAGGTGTAGGTGGTGGCGGTGCTGGATAACTACCTTGAGGTGGGAGATTCACGACTAGTACCGTGCCACCGCCAACGGTTGGCTTGAACTGAACCATTTCGGAGAATCTCGAAAGTTCGGTAGCTGCGTTACTATGGTTCGAATGTTGTGGCTGTTGTTGTTGTTGTTGTTGTTGTTGCTGAAGGATCGTCGCTGGAGAAGGATTGCTTTGGCGTTGCCTTGGCGGAGAGGTGGGCCTGCTCGCGAGCATTCTGACGCGTTGCGTGCTACCATAGACATCTACGAATGCCCAAAGTTGTAGACTTTGATCAACATGCATGACTACATTGGGTGGACTACCGTTCTTGCTCATTTGAACTTCCCCATAATGAGTTACGGTAAAGGCAATTTCGTCGCCAGGCTGCGGACTCGAAGCTACGTCCTTCGAAACTACCCAATATTCTGGACGATCCAACAAAAGATCGCTATCGTCCGGCAGGTCTTCGGCTGTTAAGCGTGCTGGATCGCAAGAGGTCAGACCCAAAGCGAGTGCTCCGACGTACATCGGTTCCGTCGCTAGGATCTGGACGACCAGTCTTTCGCCTAGTAGCAATGGTCGTCCCGTGAAGGCGTAGCCGTGACAGAATTCCGTGTCGGTGCGCGTTGCCACGCACTGTTGGTTACTGAAGCGGATGTTCCTGCCGCGGGTACTGGAAAAAAAATGAAGAAAGACAAGGAAGTGGTTAGCGTGCGCTTCAGTGACGAACACAGGAGGTGGTATTATTATAGTATAGTATAATAGGAAGATAGAATGAGACGTAATATTATTGTTTGACTTTAACGTGTCTTTTTCGATAAAGGAAAGAAACACTTTGGAACGAATCTCTTTTAACATTGATCTAACATAAAATTGATCGTCTAACATAAGATAGATCGGTGAGACGTTTAAGTATCTTTCTACTTACTGGTGGAAAGGTAACGGGGTAAAGATGACACCGGCTGGTTGAAACCTGAGTCCAGGTAGTTCTACGTCAGGCTCATGATGGATCGACATGCTTTGCATGGACGGAACGATGATTCTCTCGACGTCCCTACCAGCATTGCTAGCATCGTCCATCGCCGAGTGCCTGCTGTGTTGCGCATTATCCTCGTTACTATGGTCTGCACCTCGTCTGATATTATTAAAATGTTGTCGATTGGGATCGGCGAATTCGATGGCAGTGCTATTCCCGTATACGTCAATGATAGCCCACAATGGGCTACGAGTTTCTACGCCAGTAAAGAATAAACCTTTTTCTTCCCCATTAACACCGAAGTGAACGTCTCCGGCGGATGTGACGTAATAAAAGAGAACCGTGTCCGGTTCAGCGAACCTCTCGGCTAATGCCTTGGCCCAGTAGCCAGGCTTGTTCGTTAGGTCGGGACAAGCGTACCTTGGGAGACCGCTTCTTAAGTTGATAGGATCGTTGCTGGTAAATCCGAAACGTATAACACCACTCCAATTATCCGAGATTTCCAAGAACTTCACGCATACCTAAAACAAAATGTAATATACAAATCTTTTAATAAAACATTTCTTTATTTTTTTTTTTTTTTTCAAGAATAATGTGATCAAATTTCTCTTGCTTGTTTGATCTTATTATCTACGTGCAAAGGTAGTGTGGTTGTAAGTATATTTCTTCAGTAACTAACATGAATTTTCTTAACGTTAATATCAATAATTGATTGCGATAGATAACTAATAGATATTTGAAATAAGACACCGTCAATTTTGTTGTTAATTAATTTAATAACATCGACCGATCGATCGATCATCATCATCATCATCTCTCGATAAAGAAATTTTCATCGTAAAAACATTCATTCTAAATCAGAAAAAACAATGCGAGCGAAAAGTTATTTAGCATTATTACCGCGCTTTCATAGTTTCCTTTTCTCGTTTCGGTAATTAATAAAACGTTATCTACGTGACGAGAAGGTGTTTTCTCTTTCTCTCTCTCTTTCTCTCGGTTTCTCTCTGTTTCGAGGATTTTTCCTTACAACGCGTAGCCGTATTAATTAATATTAACTAATTTCAACGTTAAGCTTGAAATCGCTTATTATATTCAGTAGAATTCCCAGTTAGAGATCCCACGAGGATAAGAGTTTTAAACTGCCACGCTTCCGTGATGCACCTAATTGCGAAGAAATTATCGCGCTATCGTGCCACCCCCCTTCTCCTCCTCCTCCTCCTCCTTCTCGCGACTTACTATGGAGAGAATAAAAAATAAGCGTATCCTTGGCCACCGGACAAGTCGATTCTCATTATTTCACAAACTTGTATTTTATATGTATCTTTCCGTAAAATACAACTGTGTAAGATTTATACGAACATTTTTTTCTTTTTCTTTTTTTAACAAGGAATGAACGACCACCATGGAAAAGATTATTACGAAAAACTAAGCCTATGAAATATCGATACTTATATTATATTATTTTCAACACTAAATTCCTCCCCCACATTATTTATATAAGTTTTTTTTTTTTAATTTATACTTTGACGTCTTGTAATTAAAACTAATTATTCAAGAATTATGACAAGTGTTAAGGAAGAGTGGGTAGTTTAGTTAAGAATTTCGAAAAGAATTTAAAAAAAAAGGTGAAATTCTCTTCTAGACTAGAATAATATTATCCCTCCTTTAAAAAAATATGTATGTTATAATATAATAATTTTCAAAATGAAAACACAGATCGATAACATACACTAATCATTTTGTGAATTTTTTAGATTTCCAAAGTTATTATAGAAATAAATGAATATATATGAGAAATAAGTTAGCAAAAAAATCGATAATGAGAAATAACCATTCGGTGAAATCAGTAAATAAGTACACGTAAAACCTTCGACCTATTCGCCTACGCTCTGCCAATCTCTTTCGAAGAGTTAGAAGAACCAATACACGTGTAGAAAATGAAAGAACAAGATAGAGACAGGAATAAAAAGAAAGAGAAAGAGAAAGGGAGAAAGAAATAGGAGAACAGTAGATAGATACCGGGCGCCACACACAAACACACGCATATATTTTACATAATCAATGCGTAGGTATAATTATTACTATTTTCCGAATAGATGAATTAGTTTGAATAAGCCAAGACGGTGTCAGTGTTGTTAGATCAACGACTAAACGATCAACCCACGTAAAATAGTTGTGTCCTCAGGGTCGGGGTACGCTTGTTAATAGATAAAAGAAAGAAAAAAAATATATATTATAATATGGAGAATGTAAATGTACGACGTTTTATCGAGTGGAACGATAGTCACCTATTTCTCACGATCCACAACGGGATTTAAAAAACAAGGGAAGGAGGTAAACAACAAAGTTATGCGAGACTCGTTTTTACGCGAACCCGAGAGTTGCGAATAATTATTATTATCACCTTCGACAGATCATTCGAATTAAATATATTTATTTCTTTCACGACCTTTTTAGCAATCTTCTTTTGTAATACGAATTTAAATTGATTGTAAAAAAGAAAAAGAAATGAAGATAATAAATATCAAATGGAATGTATTTATCAATTATTGACATACTTTCGTTGTTGTTGTTGGTGTTGTTTGCAATTGAAATAGTTCGTTGAACCTATTTTTATTGTCTTACGATAGAAAAAAGATCTTACGTAATACTTGAGAACGATAATAGAGACAATTTATTGCATCATGATTCTCACCTTTTCACCGACTCGGACTGGTCTTGCACTAAATGTGACTCCCTTGCAGAAACTTTCGTGCCTCCTTGCAATAGTCCCGCCATTACAAAGTAGAATATTGTCACCGTGCACCTGATGGAAGGTCAAAGGTGGTAGATTGTTGGTACCTGCACTTGACGATCTGGGTGCTGTAACAGAATGAAATCGTCGAACAAATTAATTCATTATTTCGTTTTGTACAATTTTACTTGATTCTTTGTTACACGAAGATCATATAGGAAATATATATATATATATATTAATAGGTATACAGAGTAGGAGAAAACCCGATGAGGAAATTATTGCTTCATAACTTTCAAGGACAACTACTTTGAATTCATCGAAATGGCTATTTCCTTGAAGGAAATTTACATCGATTTCTCTAATTCCAAGTATCTTTAGGAGAATAAAAAAAACACCATTCAATCGTTTATTCATAATTATGAAAAATTACAGTTTCTTTCAAATATTGTATAATTGTTAAAATTTGTCATATTTAAACTTTGATTGGTTATATTAACCTGTTCATTGAAAACATCTTATTTAAGTCACAGTGGCATGTTTGAATATAACTAGTTTATATTTTAAATATCGTAAATTGTATAAATAAGAAAATAAATTCGTTTATCTGAATATTTTACTAGGTCCTAAAAAGTATTAGTAACATTTCTTCAGAAATTTCTTTTTTACAAATAACAATAACGATATTTGAAAAAGGAAACCCACCCAGTGTTGCGTTAGTAAAATTCACTTTACCGACGAAGGATTTAATATACATACATACATACATATATATACATAAATAAATATATATATATATGTGTGCAAAATGTATACCCAACGAATATAAATAGAAATAAATAAAATAAATAATAATAACAACAACAAAAATAAAATAAGTAAAATAAATAAAATGTAATAAATCAAATTAATGTTAAAATAGATTAAAATAGTCGACACAAATTAAGATACAAATATATCTCTCGGCATTAAAAGAACTATCTAGTACATACACGTATCTCTCACTCTCTCTCTCTTTCCCTTTCTTTCTTTACCATTTTTTTACGTTCCCTTTGAACAAAGAATTACTCGTCGAAGAAAGCTCGAATATTGACTAGCATCTCATCGGGAAATGCTTTCGAGACGTCGCCCACTTCGAGAACAAAGAAGTCCGCCGAACGTTCTGACAATAAGAAGACTAGATAAAAAAAAAAAAGTGGTCGAAGAGAAAGAAAAAGAAAAAAATGTAAAAGAAAGGAAAGTAACTTGGATGCAAAACGCCGCGAACCTTTTTTCGAAGCAACCCCCAGTAGTACATTGGCCCTTCGGTATTTCATAACTTTGACTCGGTGGTGGTGGTGGTGGTGATAGTGGTGTTGGTGATGATCTAGAACGTTGGAACGTTCCGAGGATAATATACTCGGTGAGAAACCAACGATCGATTCATACCGAAGCATTTGTGGCGAGACGTTGTGATTGATTGATCGATTTATCGATCTATCGATCGATCGGGAATATCCTTGGAATGTGCGTCAGCTATCGGATAATTCTTTTATTCCGATCGATTATTCCAAGTATTCACGATATTATTGTCGCGAATTTCGATTGGTCTATTGGGATGGGTGGGTGGGTGGAGGGATGAAGGGGTAGAAGGGTTCAATTAGAATTTCAACGACGGATCCGATGATAGAAATTCGATTGTCTTCGATTTGTAAAATCACTTTTTCTTTCTTTGCGCACGGTATATATTGTTGTTTTACTTCACTTTAACGTAATAAATAAAATCATTTAAATCGATTGGTGGAAGACGATATTTTTGTATGTTTTTCTTGAAAAAAAAAAAAAAAACGAATTCGATTTTCAGTTGTTATTCCTTAGTTGTTGTTGTTGTTCTTTAAAAAAAACTTATTACTCGAATACCATTAACGATAGATTTATTATATGAGACGATTAATATCGATAGTTAGGATAGTTTATAACGACGACTGGTCCGATCGAGAGTCGACTACTAACTGACGGAGAGTTATATCGATTTGCAGGAAAGAGAAGAGGTGTGTGTTGTGTGAACTCGATGTCGTAGGTGCGCTGCGCACCGGAAACCGCACGTTTCGTAGCGGAAACGCGTTCGAAACCGAAAGAGTTGCCTCCGGCATAACGGGCCCAAAATGATACGCTTTCTCCGCTTCTACCAGTTTTCGAAGGAAAGGCGGATGTATTGAAACCACCACCATCAACCCCCACCACTATTACCACCACCACCACCACCAACATTGCTATCAGCTATTCGAGTGGTATACAATAACCTATGAGAATTTAAGAAGGAAGGAAACTGTAGTCGCGATTTTCTTAGGTTTCTTTAACTTCCTTTGATGTCAAAATTCATTGACAATAGAAAATTAAACTGACAAGTATTTTGGCTTCCAAATTTGTTTTTACACGATATGTACATTCTTGAAGAATACGTTTACAAAAATTCGTATAAAAAAATTATATATTGCATCTATCGAAAAATAGATGATTGGTTCCAGTTTTTAAGAAATCAGAAATAGCAAGATTATAAATATGACACACACATACACACATTAGATTATTATAATAGATTATTCTTTATATAATAATAAGTAAATGAAAAAAAAATTTAAATGAAATAATATTTCTTCTTATACCAACAAATTTTGGTCTTATTAATTTGTATTTCTATAAGTAGGAAAAAAATAATAATAAAAAACAAAAAAACAAGAAATTGCAAACAAAGAAACAAAGAACAACATAGTGTATATCCGGTAGTTCGTTAGAAACAACGAGTCACGTCGGTAACATAAAAAAAAAAAAGGAAAAAAAAAGAAGAAAACAAAACAAAAAGCTTCTTTTCCGATTGGCAAGATGAGTTGGAACACGCGACGCGTGTCTCCGATGTGTTGCTAATGCCTAATAAGTCGGCCCTAAACAACACACACTTCCTAACGGTACAATCAAACGTTACACGTACCTTGTACTTTTCCCATAAGGTCGTCCTTTTAAATATATACGGATTATTGGAAAATAATTATTTCAATAGTAACTATTTAATATAAAGAATAATTATTAATATATATATAAGGTATATTTTTTATACTTTTCTTATAAGGATTTATATTTTTTAGAAAATATATAACTGCCTTGAATTTCTGCAAATAAGAGGATCGATTATTTTATTAATATTATTTACACTAAACTACATTATCTCTGAATTGCTTTACATTGTATAAATATAAATTACACTTAAAACTACACTATGTACATTAATTACATTACCTGCAAATAAGAGAATCAACATTTTCAGCTAATATCCACTCTTGTTTTATTTTCTTATTACTGATTTCGTAATTCAAACTTTAACCGTCTCTGTTTAGCAAACTCTTAATCGTTTCTATATCTTTTGCTCCGTCATCAGCGTTTCCGAATTTTTCTAAGTCTAATACGCCTGCGCGTCTAAATTGTAAGACAGCAGGCAGTTTAAATAATTACTAAAGGTGACGAAATATAAATAGTAATATTTCGTTATATATATTACTATATCATTTACTCTTATATTATTATTATATATATATATTACTTTTGAAATAATTATTATCATTTCATCGAGAAATAAAAAAGGTAAAATAAAAAAAGAAAAAAAAGAAATGAAGTTAACAAAGATATAAAAATTGTCTACGCGTATTTCTCAACTTTGTTGCGAATCATTGAACGCACGGGAGAGAAGGAAAACGCGAATACGAAAGAATAATATTGCGAAACGGAAACCGAGAGACCAAGAGAAGTTTCCGCCAAGCTTGGTACATTAATTCGAGTGATTAATCCGTTAACGAACTGAAACCAAGATCTTACTGTCTCCCTCTCTCTCTCTCTCTCTTTCTCTCTCTTTCTTTATTAAAGGTATCGATCGTATCTAATTTTCGAGATCTATAGATCTACGGTAAAAATGAGTGGACGATTAATTTTTCTCACGGTCCTGGTAAAAGGCACCTCTGGGTATATTATAACCAGTCCTGTGAAATGATTGTAATTTTTAATTTACACATTTTATTATTCTATCGTCGTATTATTTTGTAAAACAATCTTTAATTCTCTATTTATCTCTATTTTCCATTCTATTTTTTTTTTTGTTATTCTTTACGGATACATTATTTACACACCATGTGGTAAAAAAGGTTGAAGAAGATACAACATAAAATTTCTAAGATTTTATAAAGAAATATTATCATCGATTAGTAAGTTATATAATTATAATTATTAATAATCGTTTAAAAAAAACATCATTGTGTTCTTTCATCATTGAGAAGTTCCCAATTACCTTTTCGTGAACCAGTACCATTTTTCTTCGATCGTTTCCGGTCTAATTGTAAGATGAATTGTAAGAAAGAAGAATAAGAAGAAAAAGATGAAATGATTGGTTAAAAAAGACTTCATCTTTCCGTGGTAAAAATTCGACTCTTCTTTTCTCACGTCCGAATGAAGTAAAGATCGGGGGTTGGTGGAGAGGGAGGTGCGGTAAGAGGAAAACGAGATAAAGAAGAGTCACGAAAGAGAAGATATATATATATATAAAAGGTAAATGAACACCTCGAGTGGTTAAACCCGATCGTAATGAATTCCGTTGACACGTTGGAATGTTTCATGATTTTATTATTATTATTATCATTATTATTACTTAATACGAAACTCGAACTATCTTATTACGTGGCTAGCGCCATGGTTGATTGTTGTGAGACTCCCTTTTAAACTCGTTTGATCTACAAGCTACAAATATCTTTTCTATTCGTCGATTTAAACGATAGAATATCCGTTTACTACTTGCGAATGGAATGGTATGGCATCGGTATCCGATATCGAATAAAATCGTAGATGGTAAAACCAGTTGTTTCTATCTTACCGATTAACACTAGATTTACGAATGTTTTGTTAACTATTTTATAAAAACTTACAAATATTGTTTTAATGAAGAAGATGAGTAGAAGGGAAGGAATTAATATTTACGTATATTTTTTATTATAGCATTAAAAATCAACACACATGTGTGTGTATATTTTGAAAAGATAATATTTAAGTTTTATATATATATGTAGCAAAAAAATATGTGAAATCAGTCAAATTGGTTCAGTTTTCGTAA